AACGAAAGATCAGCTTTTCTACAATTCAAGGAGGTCAAGCAGTGCAATAAATTGATAGGTCTTCATATATCGTTGCTTCTGTTTCCATGAATACAAGATTCCTTGATTTTAAGTACATGTCAAAATGTTCTACATTTATAAGCCTGAGATGAAATGGAGGGAAAGGAAGAAAGTGAGAGAGAGAGAGAGAGAGAGAGAGAGAGAGATGACGAATTAACAACAGATAATGATCAGAAAAAGTAATATTAAAGGGGAGAGAGAGAGAGAAGGGAGAAGAGGAGTGAGAAATAAAGAATGACATAGTAAGTGAGGAGAGGAGGTAAAAGAGAAAGAGGAAAAAGATGGAAAGAAAGTAAAAGAGTGAATCTGAATAAAGAGGGCAAAAGGAAAAACGAAGCGAGAAAGAGTGAGAAAAGATAAAGACTGACATAGACAATGAAAGAGAGGAAGTGAAAAAATAGAGAGAGACTAGAGGGAGAGGTATTAAAGAAGAGAGAGAGGGGGAAGTGAAAATAGAGATAAAGAAAGAACAATACAGAAAGTGATGAGAGTAAGAGGAAGAATGAATAACGAAAAACATATAAAAGGGGAGAAAGTGTGTGAGAGAGAGAGAGAGAGAGAGTGATAGGGAGGGTGTTATGCTATAATACCCTATTCTATTGTAATGGACTCTCCCACAGATAATACGTAGTAGTAGCAGTCGCCAGTTCGGCTCAGTGGTGTTGAGCGAGTCAGTCGATATCGGACATTGAAGTACCAACCATCACAACTAGATTTGCTGCGTCATTAACTCTTATTTCCAAGTTCCTAACGTTTTGTACGTCGAACCTAATTTAGGACGACTTATTGAAATACAAGCCTCCACTGTGAAAACTACTCTACCACAGAGGGGCAACCTACTGGAGGAAAAATCTACCTCGTCAGTCATGTATCGAATGATACATGATCGCCTAAGCGTGTATCACGCATGACACAACTGATTTTAGAAACGAGGAGCTATGGGCATAAAACTGGCGGTTATATCTAGCCATTGTGCGGCACCTAGACGTGTTGTCATGGTTAGAAAGCTTTTGCTGAATCAGTTACGACTGAACAGTGAGTTCGATCATCACTAAGTGCCCCTGACTTTCGGCCTTGTGCCACATGTAATTCACACTTAGAAAATCACTATATCGTTGCCATTTAACTGCAAAATGATGAGTACCGCGTTTAAAATCATAAATTCTTGGTAACATAGTGAAGAAATACATCACAACATGAAATTATTTACAGAAAATATACAAGGAAACTACATGAGGTTGGTGGGGAAGGGCTTGAAGCCGAGATGCCAGGTCAAGATCAGTAACATTGGAGATTCTTTGGATTTTGTCAAGGGTCTCTAAATATTTTGTATAAGCATCAGGGTAGCAATATTCTAAGCATGGACTAATGGTAGACTTATGAATATGTCAGATACATTCAGCAAAGAAAAAATTGTCTAGCCCGGAACAGTTAACCAATTTTTCTAGCAGTAGACCTGGCAAGTGATTCAATAGAATCTTTTTATTACATGCCGGCGGAAAACGTTAATCTGAGAGGACAATATGAAATATAAAAGGTGAGTCTACCTTTGAGTCAACCTTTGAGCGGAGAATCCAGGCAATCGTAATGCTATTATTTGTTTTGCAGATTATTAATTTGTTAGCAGAAAAAAAAATAGACTAAGAAGGCGAAACGAGTCAATTTATTGTAGGTTAGCATCAGCCATACTGATGAAAGGCAGAAAATGGATCCTTCAGTCCATTAACTGAAAGAAGTTTCGTTTTGGAGATGTTAAAATTAACAAGTCATTCCTTGCCCCTGTTAACAACAGATTTTAAGTCATATTTTAATATCAGCTGCTGATTTGGTCTTCTTTCTTTTTATCTGACATGTCCTACAGGAAGTAAGCGATCATGGCTCTCCACTTCTCTCTATCCCTTGCAGCTCTCAACAAGTGACTTCTTTCTTTTCCCTCCCCCAAACCACGTTCTGTCATCCGCTTGCTTAAGTCCGCCAGGTATGTCATGCGTTCTCTTCCCTTGTCTTTCTTTCTATCCGGACCGTGAGTATCAGATTATCCAGGCCCTCCTTCCTCATTATGTGTCCCAAAAACTTCAGCTGCCTCAACCTGATATTAAGTATCAGCCTCTTTAAGATCTCATCGTTGCTCACACGCTCGGTCCATGTTATCCTTAGCATCCTTCTGTAGAACCACATCTCTGTCGCCTCGAATCTCTTCTTCATCTTTGAGGAAATCGTCCAACATTTGCTGCCGTAAAGAAGGACAGATGTCACTTAATAGTACAGTATTCTTTTCTTTGTTACCAAATACATCCTCCTCTCTCGCAGTACTCTGCCCAGCTTTTGTAATGTGTCCGTGGCCATTCTAATACGCCTACCGATCTCTGTGTATCGAATCGATCAGATTTACTATTAAAACCGGAGTAGATACATGTGTCATCAGCTTATATATGGAGTTGAGAACTGATGCCATGGAAATATGGGAAGGTTTGCAACATGATCTGTGGAAAAATGGCTGCACACAGGAGAATAGATCTTTCCTTTACAAGGTCACATAAACGATTTGGAACACATGGCTGGAAAGTGAAGCCGGGGTAGCCCTATTTTTGGTCTAATCCTGAAACTTGTAGAGATAACTGTCTCATGTAAAGATAAATATATTACGTATGTTAATAGATAATTTTACAAGATAAATATTTCTGAAAACATACTAGTCACAGGGGTGATGTGTTCCTGAATTGGTTGGTTACCATGATAACATTTAAGTTAATTATCTAATTATCTTGTGTATTCAGAATCATTTCTATAGAAGTAACAATGTTCAGAATATTTTTTAAAATGTCATCTTTTTGTGTGTGTGATTTTGTTTGAATAAGTGTATAAGGTAAGCGTTACAGATTGACCTGATAGTCAGAATAGCGAATTTCTTTTTAGAAAGTACTTGTATAGGATAGATTTGGGTTGTGTATGCGTGTAGGTTTAATTAAAGATTTAGTATTGCACTGGGATTAGTATTTAATATGTAATATATGGGCTTAAGCAATGAAAGAAAGATATCAGCCCACCTCGTTATGGATTCCGGAAGTAGATCTAAACCGGATGTAGTAAAAAGCCAACACTATATAGTAGAGGAGTGGGAAAAGCCCTGTTTTTCATTGGCTGACGCTGACTGACATATGACAATAAGAACGCCGAAGTCCGGCCTTGCTAGGTAAAAGATTATTGTTTTGCAATGTCGCGGTGCGTAGCACGACGCTTTCAAATAGGCGGCCTGACTCGTCTAGAATCAGGTCGGGGTTGTTGTTGGAGCCGATATGATGCGAAACCCGAAATCGGCGATGAGGACATTGCATCACTGAAGACCACCCTTGATGCATCTAAAATGTATGATTTAACTAATAACTATTAACCGTCTCTTTAATAATCACTGGTTATCTAAGGAAGGCCTTCTGCCAAACCTGGCATAGAAAATAGCTCTTGGCGATAGTAAGTAGGTTATTGGTTAGAAGGATGCTGATGACATAGCTATTCATAGGATAAGAATGACCTTTGAACAAAAAACAGAAATAGGGCTCAATGTAAACCTCTCTGAAACATAAATTGTTATCTGGAATTGAAATCAAAGTACTGATGACACTGATACCTTGAATATGTTAGTAAATACGAAACACTTCAGATATATTTTGGATCTATTGTAATAGTTTGCAGAATATTAGAAATTATAGCAAAAAATTAGTCTAGACTAACAGCTATAAAGTACGGAAAGTTGTGGAGAGCCTTGAGCAGCCACGTCCTGAAGAGATACGGCACATAGAAATTGAAGCAAGCATAATCTTGAGCCAGACGTAATTCTATTAAATAGCTATTAATCATTTCCTATTGGAATTGCGGAGAGAGTGGTAGCGAGTATTGGACAAGAACTCGTATTTATTTAACAGTTGCCTGGAATTCTAGGCGTAAAAGGCGCCATCTTAGTTTATTTGGAAGACATATTTTCGCTTAAAATATCAGCATATAAACCACAAACTGTATGTTACAGGACGTAAGGTCTTCCATGACGGGAATGGAGAAAATTTTGCGGCATGATGATCGATCGTATAACTCGTTGCTGTTTCAGGTAATTTAAAATGATAGATTGAGTAATCAAATCATATTTATAAAGACAGACGAACTTCGAGAACAGCGAAAGAAATCTAATGTAATGTAGATTAATTCCTATCCTAATTCAAAACACAGAGGGATTAGTGAGGAAGCGAGGGAAAGCTAGCTAAAGGTGGGGAGGGGCTTATTATATTGGTCAAATTCAATGTATCCTATTTACAGGAGCATACATAACACTCAAGCGAAAGACCAATGTATCGTTATGTAGAACTCATTATGAAAATAGATCACACACACACACACACATATACATATATATATATATATATATATATATATATATATATATATATATATATATATATATATATATCTTGAATGTCTCATTAAATAATGTAGGCAACTTCTGTATACTTATTTTAATATGATCCTCTCATAATTATAGACAAGTTACTTAGTATCCTTAATAAAGGAAGAAAAAAAATTACCATATTGATGCATATTTTATTCGGAGTACTTTTCACATTAGCAAAATGTCATCATCAGTGTGCTGTTTTTTCTATAAATTGTTGCGTCCATCATTATACATATATATATATCTCTATATATCTGTATCTATATCTCTATATATATTTATATATATATATATATATATATATATATATATATATATATATATATATATATAATAATTTTTCATCACTGATATATACATATATATATATATATATATATATATATTATAATTTTCATCACTGCATCTTTGTTGTGAGTAAATTGTTTTTGTCTATATGAAAAATATTTAATAAATAGTTATTTCTCTACTATTGGCATTGAGCCCTCTTTTGAATTAATACTGTGAACGTTAGAATTTATATATTATTTTCGTCTTATTACATTCGGATATATATATATATATATATATATATATAACTTAGCGCTTATCACTAATAGTTTTTCCTCCGTCTAGCATCTACTCAAGTCCGTAACTTTTCTACAGCATACCTAGTTACCTCCCCTTAAACGGTGTCTGCCAACCACCAATGACAGTGTTCGTGATTCCACATAAAAATGGTAATCTTCTGATGACCCCCAAAATTTTTGTTTTTATCTATATCTATCGATATTGAGCTCTCTTTTGAATTAATGCTGTGACCGTTAGAATTTATATTTTTTGCGTCTCATTACATTCGGACATATATATATATATATATGGTGGTATGTCAAGAATTCTCCGCACGTTATCCTTCACGCTTGTCACAATGCTTTCTGCTCATGTATGCTTATACTTGTTACCATTGTGGTAACCTGATCGAAGTTTGAGCCTGATAGATATTTCTTCCACCTTGATGCACACTGCTCGAGGAGCGGCCATGTTCACACTGTAACAGCAAAAAAGAAAACCGGCGTGATTCAGCTCAGACTTTGATCACATGACCACAAGGCAGCGTGACAAATGTAAAGGTATATTCCGGTAAAAGCACATTTTTAACTTTTTAAGTTTTTTAACATTTTTCTTATCCTCGTAGAATTATACCGGTCGTCCATGATTTGAATTAATGTCGCACCTGGTCGGGTGCTTCTGTTATGTATTTATATATTTCTGGTAAAATCTAAAAAAAAGAATATGCAATTTTATTGATCCGAATTTGGTATCCAGGCTTCAATAACTTTCCCACGTCATATTGTAGCTTCCCTCTGCCTTTTCTATAAATATTTTAATGGTAATTCTTCTGATGAATTTACCTCTAGACATTTTGAATTCAAGGGCAGTACTAGATTAGCGACAAGGTCTCATCATTTTTCAATTAATGGGGGTAGATGTAACCGTAGGTTCTATGTAAAATGTTTCTTCTCTTGCATTTCTCATTTGTGAAACTCTCTTCTGGCCTCTCGTTTCCTAGTTGAAAGTTTCCTAGGGAAAGTTACTGAATAGAATAATCAAACGAAGGTCGGTAATGAACGATACTACTTAGGACAAGAACAACACATATAAGATTCGCCAGCGGTGCGTAGAAGTTGTGTGTCAACTGCTATAAGTGAGTCAAGTGAATTCCCCAATGAATCTCCAACTGCAGGCCGGAGACGGTATCTAGCAACTGCCCCACGCAGTCAGACGTGGCACAAGTTCGAATTTAATGTGGGGTTCCCGAGCAAAAAATTCCCTGTATACTCCGTATAAAACGGGGTCGCGTAGGTGTTTCCCGAGAGTAGACTCTGCCCATCGACATAGCCCCGTCTGAAGATGCTTTCTGTCCGGAGGCAGAGAGCTTAACCAGCCCAGCTGAAGAGGAATCTCCAAATGCGGGCCGGCAGACGGTATGTACCAACTGCCCTGCGCACACAGATATGGCACATGCCCGAATTTAATGTGGGGTTCCAGAGCCCGTAGGTTTAGGCAAAAAAAATTCTGTAGTCCTAGTATAAAACTGGCTCGGGTAGGTGTTTCCCGAAACGAGACTCTGCCTTTTGACATTACTACATCTGACATCTACCATGAAAGACGGATAAGTAGGGGGAGGAACGGTAACATGGCCTAGACGTTCCTATGACCTCAATCCTTTCGATTTTTATCCGTGAGGCCACCTAAAACAGTTCGTTTATGCAGCAGACATTAATAATAGAGACACTTCTTCAATGTGTCACAGGGGCCGTCGAAACCATTCGATAACGCGTGGGAATGAAAGGGTCTACAAGTCAATAATCTGAGGAAGCCATGCGTGTGTAGAAGCAAGCAGGAGACATTTTGAACATTTATTGAGTTGCTGTCTTGAGGTACAACTATGGCTTTTTGGACATATATTTAAATGGGTATTTCAGGTAATTTTGGTGTCAGAAAGCTTAGATCAAGGACCAACTTAATAAAAGAAATATCCAAATGTTGGATAATTTTTGTCTTTATTTTCAAACGACATTAAAGTAAACATACGAACATTAGAACGACTCATGATCAGACATAATAGACGTTCATTATATTTAACAATATATATATATATATATATATTAACAATATATATATATATATATATATATATATATATAATTATATTGGAGTTTCAGCTCTTGTTTTGAAACATGAGAACTCTTATATAGCGTTGAAATCATATATTTAAATAAATAATTATATTTATGATCTACTTTTATATCGAGCACTATTTTTTAAAAATAATAACAAAATACTAAAGAACTTTGGATTATTTACCTAGCGAGTTATTTCCTATTTTCTACATATTTGCACACACACACACACACACACACACACACACATATATATATATATATATATATATATATATATATATATATATATATGTGTGTGTGTGTGTGTATATATATATATATGTGTGTGTGTGTGTGGGTGTGTGTGCAAATATTTAGAAAAGTAGGAAAGAACTCGTTAGGTAAATTATCCGGGGTTTAGTATTTTTGTTTTTATTTTTAAAAAACAGTGCTCGATAGAGAAGCAGAGCTTAAATTATAATTATTTCTTAAAAAAATATGATTCCTTCGCTACATAAGAGTTCTCATGCTTCAAAAACAAGAGCCAAAAACCTCAATATAATTATCGAAATTAAATTGAGTTAAAGTATCAAGACCTGTTTCATCCTCCAGTGAAAATTTAGAAATAACCAATATTGAAATTACGCATCTTTATAAGCATGCTCATTCGCAAAATTAATTACTATGGAAACGGCTGGGGCGACTATTTTGATAAGGGGCATAAGAGTTAATTTGCATCCCCATATCAGTCACCTTTGGAAAGAGGTCAAAAGAAAGAAAGAGGTCCGGGGTGTCTATTTCAAAGCGAAAGATTGCATTCATGTACGAACATCGTCTGGTCAGTCACAGCGACTGATAGCTGTTGGCACCATAATACGCCGTTAAGTGTCTAAAGAATTTTATTTTATTTATTTATTTATTTTTCTAAAGGGCTGTTTCGTACATAAACGCGTCGCACTGAACTACAATTTGCTTTTTTTGACGATATCATAAAGGGTTTTTCTATCTTATGATTGGATTAAGCTTTTAAACCTAGTATATATATATATATTATTTCATGGATTTAGAGAATAAAACATTGGTACTCTGTTGTATAGAGTAATCCATGAAAACGTTGCGAACATTGATCCAGTCATTATAGACCTGCAATGTATTTAGCCATATTCGTTTCGTCAGACACATGGCGATGGTCAAAATGGTTGAACGTCAGCGTGGAAAACGAAGGAATTTTAGTGGTGATTCTCTTGATACCGGTTAATATATCCACTGATTTAATCAACCCTTGCCAGCCACAACTGTTCTGATAATATATCGATGGGCTTCTGATACATTTCGATGGACAGCTAATGAAATTAATACAGATGATCTGTAACTGCAAATGTAATGTTCGCTAATTTAACAGAATACGTAGGGGGGGACTAATACAGTAGAAATAGGGGATAATAAATATGATTTATTAAGATTATGAATTTTTCTGAGAGAGAAAGAAAAGCGAAGAGAGATTGGAGAAAGAATAAAAGATGGTGAGAGATATGAAAGACGAAAAAGAGAAATGGATAATTTTAGTGGAGATTTGTAAAGAGAATGAAAAGAAAGAAATGAACAGTGAAGGTTAAAAAAAGAGAAAGGAGAAAGAATAAGAGAAGTAGAAATAGAAAAAGAAAGAAACGAAAAGGGCGGAAGAGTTACGAAATAAGGGGGGAAATAACGTAGACAAGAAGAGGATGTGGGGAAGAAAAGATAAAGTAAGAAAGAAAGAAAGAAAGAAAGAAAGAAAGAAATAAAGAAAGAAAGAAAGGTAAACCGTTCCAGGGAACGATAAAGAAGGAAAGAAATGGAAGGAAATTTGAGAAAGAGGAAAACAATTAGAAGCCAGAGAAAGAGAGAAGAAATAAAATGTAAAGGCGAAGAAGGAGACAAACAGATTGAGAAACAAAAGAAAGAAAGAGAAAGAAAAGAAGAAACGGGAAGAAGAATAGAAGATATAGAACGTGGGAGAAGGGGATAAAGAAAAATAAAGAGACAGCGAAAGAGTCAGAAGAAGAGAGAGATATATAGGAAAGAGAAAGACAAAGAGAGAGAGAGAGAGAGAGAGAGAGAAAGAGAGAGAGAAAGAGAGAGAGAGAGAGAGAGGAGTGAAAAAATGGCCCACATGAAAAGGAACTGGGAATTTTAAATTATAATTATTTTTTATAATCTTGCCGATTTCATTTAGATCATTTTTGGTTTTTATTTTTGTGTCCCTAACAACCTGTTTATAAAATCACCTCAATGACTGTCACAAGAAATACATAGGAGAAACGTTAAGGAATCTAAATAAAAGATTAAATGAAAACAAAAGGGGCATTTTACAAAACAATACATCAAATACATTGGTTGCTCAACGTAACGAGACTGACCACAATTTTGACATAAAATCTACTCTGATCAAAGAAGGAACTATCCAATATGACCTAAATATCTAGAGAGTATCTTGTTCGGAAGGTCAAATACAGTAAATATGAAAGCCAGTCACACTGGCTCTTACAATATTTCAACATTCCTGGCAGATCTTTTATTATCACAGTTCGGGATGTCTAATAACAAAAGTGATGGCACAAATAAATCTAAATGAAATCGGCTAGATTTTATATATATATATATATATATATATATATATATATATATATGCGTTACTTACGGTGCCCAGAATTGGAGTTAGAAATTTAGTTAAATACCTAGCGATATTATGAGGAGCTGAGCCTATACCCGAGATGATGGGCCTTAACGCACATATAAAATTCAGGCTCTCTTTATATGTGCGTTAAGGCCCATCATCTAGGCTCAGCTCCTCATAATATCGCTAGGTATTTAACTAAATTTAACTCCAATTCCTGGGCAATAAGTAACGCACATATAAAGAATTCAGGCTCTCTTCTAAATAAGTTGAGAAATATTGATATAGATAACAAATTACTAGCTAGCTTAGACATCAAATCTTTATATACTAATATACCTGTTGATAAATGCATTAAACAATTAGAGAACCACCTTAAGAAAATTGACTTTAAGCTACCTATCTCTATCTCGAAATGCATCAAATTATGCATCCTTTGCACTTCACATTGTTTCTTCCAATATAATAATATTTATTATAAACAAAAATTTGGTTTACCGATGGGGAGTCCTCTCTGGATTCCTAGCATGCATATTTCTAGAATTTCTTGAATCTGGACCTTTTAAAGATGTCATTCCACCTGATACACATTACTTTCGATACATCGATGACATTTTATTTATCTACCCACATAAGCATGATTTAAACAATATTACTGATAGATTAAATAGAATAGAACCTACTATAGAATTTACCTATGAACTTGAATCTAATAATTCCTTACCTTTTTTAGACATACTACTCATTAAAAATAAAAATAAATTAGAATTCAAAGTATATCGTAAACCTACATGTAAAAATGACTATTTACATTTTTACTCTCACCATGATACTAACACTAAGAGGGGTATTGTTATTGGATTCTATTTAAGGGCTCTTCGCATCTGTTCATCAAAATATTTAAATGATGAATTCACATATATTGAGGATACCTTTTCAAATCTTTCGTATCCGAGACAATTATTACAGAGAGCTAAAAATAAAGCGTTGAAAATTCACTCATCAGCGCAAAATGACACCTCGAAGGCCACTACAACTACATCAATGAAAGATACAATTTCAGCTGCCTCTGATAATATTTCGTTTGGTCGCATCTTTTTACCAAATAACCATTTGACCGAACGTATCTCTCATAATCTAAATGCATTAAAAATTAGAACTACTATATTACCTACTAGGACTATCCGTAGTTTATTAAATAGCACCAGCAGACAACATATTACATCCGATGCTTGCATCTATCAAATATCATGCAAAAACTGTGACCTAAAATATGTGGGTGAAACATGTAGGTCCGTAAAATCTCGTGTTTTCGAACATAAACGAGATATTCGCCTCGAAATTTTAACAATGCTTTAGTTGTACACACAACTAAAGCAGATCATAATTCGATTTCGATTCCGTGAAAGTATTAAAATATTTTCATAATAAAAATCTCAGGAGGATTTATGAAGCAGGTATAATATCCATCTCACGCACGGTGAATACTAGACCTGGTTTTTTAATATTTCCCTTTTTTAGCGAGATTGATGCTCGACAAGCATACACATAAAAATTTTAGAATCTAATAGAATTCTTTTCATTTTCTTTTTCATTTCAAAATAATCACAAACTTTTAGGAATACGTTTTGAAAGCGTCGCTCATGTGACGACGGCGTGACCATGTTAGACGGAAGGCTGATCATTTTAAAAATTTTCAGTTATCTGTTTTTGGATAAGACTTGTGTTTTTATGTCCATCGTATTTGTCATATTGAACTGAATTGTATTTTAATGAATATTGTCTTGAAAAAGGTTTATTAAACCGAAACGTCAGACGTCGACATTTCATTCATTTTAAACAACATTTAAGGATTTTTGTTTTGTTTTTTCAAAATTTTTCTTCATTCTGTCGGATTTATATCCATTTACATATATATATATATATATATATATATATATATATATATATATATATATATATATGAAGAAATATACTCTTCAGGTGTGGTATATTTATGGGATAAATTGCTCAATACCAGAGGTAGAACGTGTGAAAATATAAACGTGAACATAGAAGTCAACACAAGTGACAGGCTGTTTCATGCTAGACACATTCGTGGCCTGATGATAGCGTCTAGCATGAAACAGCCTGTTTACCTCTAAAGATGTTGACTTCGATGTTCATTTATATATATATATATATATATATATATATATATATATATATATATATAAATTAATAAACAAATAAATCCAAACACACTGCATATGGGGAATAGTCTATTTCGGCATACGAATATATCAGTTGTCTGTCTTATCAATCCCAATGTGGATTGAGTTCTTGTCAAAATATAAATTTAACTCTGAAACCTAAAAAAACCCATAAAACAGTCGGCAAACTAACACAGAATTTATCCCTTTCAATGTTTCAGTCAGAGGAAAGGCATGAGGCGGGGGTCAGGCGATGGGGGTGTAGCTCTTTGTAATAAAGGTGAGAAGTTTTATAAAATTAAAACCGAATATTAATCTCATGACATTAGTTTGGTGTTATATGAAGAATGAAATATTACTAAAAATTAAAAGAGGAATAAAAAAGAGGTTTAAAATTAACTTTAAAATGTATAATAATAAAAGTATTTAATGGAAAAAGGGTGGCTGGGGAGATCTTAGAGGAGGGGTAAATGTTATAAATTAGGAATAATATAGTGTAAAGAGCTTATAGAGGAGGGAATATAGAAATTAGAATTATATATATATATATATATATATATATATATATTCGTACACTTGAAAAATTGTATTTTTATAAATGTAAAAGCCTTAAATAAAACGAATCTCGGCACATTTTATGTATAAAGACACATACTATTAAAAAATAATAACAAACTTAATTAATTCTTATTCTAACAGAAATTTATGCATTTTTTTAAATTCTAACTGGTGGAAAAAGTATTCGTACAAATCAATTAATAGAAGAAAATAATTAATTATGAAAAAAGAAAATTCAAGAATGTTCCAGTAATGTTACCAGTAATTATAGTTAACGCTATTAGCCATTATCAGAGCATTTTGGAATTTCTAGTCTTACGAGAAGGTTCTAATAATGCCTAAATGTAAAGAATTGATTATTTCACAAAAAAAAACAACAACACATTTTGTCTCTTTGGAAAGATGGGAACAGTTACAGAACGATTTCTAACAATCTGAATATTCCTTTTACTACAATTGCTTCGTTCATTGCAAAGTTTAGAACTCGTAACAGCGTCAAAAACCAAAGACGAACAGGTGCTCCGAGGAAGATTTCTCTAAGATCAGCAAGGATATTAGGACGCCAGATCCAACAAAATCCACAGGTTACCCGAGAAGAGCTGCAGGAGCATCTGCGTGCATTAGGGATTGAAGTAACCAAACGTACAATAACTAATGAACAACATAAAAACAGTCTGAAATCACGCATTTCAAGGAAGACTCCACTCCTCTTGAAATGATACAGACATGCTAGGCTAAAATTCGTTAGAGAGCATAAGGATAAAGAATATTCGTTTTGGGAAAAGGTACTATGGACAGATGAAACTAAAATAGAGTTTTTAAGTCATAATTATCGAAATCATGCGTGGAGGAAGGACGGTGAAGCCTACTTACCAAAGAACACGTTGCCAACTGTAAAGTTTGGTGGTGGCAGTATCATGATCTGGGGCTGTTTTTTCTGGAAAATGTGTTGACAGAATATTAATAATAGATGACAAGATGAATACCGAAAGATACCAGAAAATCCTGCAAGACAATTTAATGCGTTCTGATGAGAGACTTCGGCTACCTCCTGATTGGGTTTTCCAACGGGATAATGATTCTAAGCATACCGCTAGATCTACAAGGAAATGGTTAGTTGAAAATAACGTTGATGTCTTGCAATGGCCAATCAGTTCCCAGATTTGAACCCAATCGAGAATTTATGGCGATATTTGAAAATTCAAATTGGGAAAAGTGCACCAACAAATATCAAGAATTTGAAGACAATATGCCAAGAAGAATGGGACAAAATGCCACTCATTGTGTGCAAATCATTAGTTGAGACATACAGGAATAGACTGGTAGCTGTTGAAATCAATAAAGGATATTCCACAAAGTATTAAATTAAGTCAATATGCATTTTTTTGTTTTGTACGAATACTTTTTTCATCAGTTAAAATGAAAAAAAATGCATTAATTTCTGTTAGGATAAGAATTAATTAAGTTTATTACTATTTTTTAATAAAATGTATCTTTACACATAAAATGTATCAAAAATTGTTTTAGTTAAGGCTCTTACATTTATACAAATACAATTTTTCATGTGTACGAATATTTATTTCCCTCACTGTATATATATATATATATATATATATATATATGTATATGTTTTTATAGATACAAATATTTAAGTAAATGTTCTGTTTATAATAAACAATATTAAACAACATTTACGGGCCTAAATATTGAAGACATTTTCATAGAAAATATGCGTCCTCCGACAGGAATCGAACCTGCATCCTATATGGAACCGTCATATAGCCTGACGTGCTTTTACCGATTGAGCCACAGAAGAGTGTTTCGGTCAGCAAGGTCGATTTTTTTAAACCTCAATTCTCCATGATTTTCCCTCATACATTCATTTATACGTTCTTTTTATAGACACAAATATTTAAGCAAATTCTCTGTTTACAATAAACAGTATTAATAACATTTACCGGAGGACGCAGATTTTCTATGAACATTTCTCGTACATCCAGGCCGATAAATGTCATTAATACTATTTATTATAAACATAGCATTTACTTAAATATTTGTATCTATAAAAATAACGTATAAAATAAAAAATGTCTCAAAATAATTGTCCATTACATAATATATATATATATATATATATATATATATATATATATATATATATATATATATATATATATATTGTTCCATGTGTTGAATTCATTGATTTTTTTTCAGTTTTTCACCTCATACGTAACAAGGAATAACACCTCTCCCTCAAAACAGTCAGTAATCGGATCGCTATCAACGAATCATAGTCATTCGCAGTTTCTAGAAAAAGTGACTGTGGCTTGAATGGGAGCTGGTCAGCTTAGCAGAAGAAACGACATTTTGCTCTGCGCGGACACAGCGGAGGTAATAAACATGATGAACACTTTTTTTATGTTCCTGGGTGCCGTCGGCCTCGACGGCCATGCCGTTCTCCTGGGCTTCTTACTGCAGGGCCTGTGATTTAAAACCAGCGCTGACAGCAAATAAATGGGCAGCTTTCTTAACTCTTCTTTCGATATAAGTAGGACTGCTCCCTTCTTCATCTAGGAATGTCAAGCCCATAACAAGCGGTCTTGTTGATTTGAATCACCTGGACGACTGGTGTATCATTAGGGAACTAACTAATGAAGGCAATAAGTCACTTTCAAGGCCGTATCAAAGTATCACATGAACCACAACACTAGAAGGTATATTTATTGAGTAAGCTTTTACAATTTTTCGATGTTGAGTGCGTGAATAAGTGATAACTAGTTTATCTATTTAATATCATTTGTTATCAGGTGCAAACGCCTGCACACAAATACAGTGACTGATGGACTGACCGTCTTTACAGCCTATAAAACATTTGCAAGCTATTTTTAATTTTTTTTAAGCGCAATCAAGGCGATAAAAATTTAAGACGCAAAGAGTTACTCAATGTCAGACAAGATGTGAAAAATAAAACACTTTGGAGAGAAAACGATAAAATTACAATAATCAAGAAGACAACAATTAACATATGAAATATCTAAGTTGACTGGAATTCAAGAAACCGGAATATAATTTGACAAGCAAAAGAAACGAAAAGAAACTCTTAATATAAAACTCACGGCTCAATCTAGCCATTTCAAATGTAAAATAAGATCTTACAGCAAATCTCGTATATATATATATATATATATATATATATATATATATATATATATATATATAGTTTTAAATTATGCTATGTTTATGGGTTAAAAGTGCTCAATATCAGACATAGAGCGTATGTAAACATAAATATAAAAGTGAACATTGAAATCAACACTCAGAGGCGACAGGCTGTTTCATGCTAGGCGCAATCGTCAGCCGCGAATGTTGAATTTTTCCTCGACTATTTCAGTGGTGGTTAGTGGTGTATTGTGGGTAATCTATACTGGCGGTTATTTTTGTGGGATTGGCTTGTTTGTTTATGTGTTTGGGTTAATTTATTTGTTTTTCATTTTCATTTGGTATTATTTATTAACGTAGTAAAAAAAAATCATAGGTATATATTTACTACATGAACTAAGTGAAATGATAGATAAAAATGATATAGGATTCTACAGGGATGATGGTCCCTTCATCTTAAGAAAGTGCAACAACCAAAACACAGACAAAACTGGAAAAGCAATAATAAAGATTTTTTTTTAAAATAACGGATTTAACATAGATATAAAAACTAACCCAAACGAAGTCGATTTTGTAAATGCTACCTTCAACCTAGAAAAGGCACATATGAACCATACAGAAAACCCAATGATAAATCACTGCACACACACGCATCCTCCAATCATCGGGCTTCGATAATGAAACAGGTAACAAAATCGATTAACTGCAGGTTTCCCGACAATTCTTGCAACAAAACCATACTTAACGAAGTTAAGAAAGACTACGAAACAGCCCTAAAAGATAGTGGATTCTCAACAACACTCACATACTTACTAGAGAGCAAAAGAAAGGCCAGCAGGAAGAGAAATATCATATGGTTCAACCCAGCGTATAGCAAAACCGGAAAACAAACATAGGTAGAATATTCTTCCAACTCTTAAACAAACACTTACCGGAATCAAGCATTCAGCACAAAATATTCAATAAAAACACTGTAAAAATCAGCTACAGTTTCACCGAGAACATGGCACAAATAATAAAAAAGCCCAACAGGAAAACTGCCAACAAACCACCCGAACAAATTAAACCCACGTGTAACTGTAGAATAAAGAATTAATGTCCCTTAAACGCTAATTGCTTACAAAACAAAGTAATATCACCAGATAATGAAAAAAAAAGTATACATAGGAGTAACTGAAGGAACCTGGAAACAAAGAAACAATGCACACAAAATCATCTTTCACAAATAGTAAATACGCGAACAGCACAGCGCTTTCCGAGTATATCTGGGAAATTAAAAACAAAACACAAATCACACCAGAAATATCATCCCAAAACGCAGTCATGAAAACAAATATTTACTACGTTACTTAAAAATCGAAAACTGAAATGAATAAATACAAATAAACAAAATAATATAAAAAATAAGTAAAATAAATTAATCCAAACAAATAATAAACAAATTAACAAACAACTGCTGTTAGAATAGACGAAATAAAATAAATAAAAATAAAATACATAAAAAAACAAGTAAAAATAAACAACCAAACAATTAATAATAAACAAATTAACAAACCAATCACGCCAAAATAACCGTTAGAACAGAGTACAGAACCAATCTAAAAATTGGACGTAAAAATAGCTATAACTACTATAAAACGATTAAAAAAAACATTACGTTACTCAAAAATCGGAAGCCAAATAGAGTAAATAAAAATAAAAATAATACAAAATTAAAAATAATTAAATAAAATAAAAAAAACAAATAAAAATTGACCCGAATAAATACTTCCAATTTTTTTTCTTACTACATTAACAAATAATACAAAATGAAAATGAAAAACAAATAAATTAACGGAAACAAATAAATAAACACGCCACTTCCACGAAGAATAAACATCAGAATAGATTATCCACAATACACCCATGTTTATAAATAGTCGAGGAAAAATTCAACATTCGCGGCCTGACGATTGCGCCTGGCATGAAAAAGGCTGTCGTGTCTGAGTGTCGACTTCAATGTTCACTTTTATATTTGTTTATATATATATATATATATATATATATATATATATATATATATATATATATATATATATATATATAATTCATAATTCAATAGAGATAGATACGAACAGACTGGAATATACATATATATATATATTTAGATAGATAAATAGATATGAACAGACTTAGATAGAAACAGTCTGAGATAGATAAGTAGATAGCTACACAGATATATATATATATATATATATATATATATTGCATTTATCATATATATTGATTTGTGTGTATATGTGTGTGATTATTGCCCAAAATATACTTCGACGTAAGCAATAAGGTTTTATTTAAATATATTCTATTGAATAGACCAAATCTAAAATACTTATGAAACCATTTCCCATTGTTTTTCATGGTGTCGAATGAAATGCCTAAACTCTGACGAGAACAGCTAATGGTACTTGGAAAAATTAATCACAGAAATCCGAGAAATTCTTTAGAATTCTTTCTGGTTTTTATCAAGGAAAAAAGAATTTAAGCACAATAGCTTGGATGCCTCTTGACCTTTGTTTGGCCGCTTTTCTTTTTCTTTATAATTGATTTACGATCGAATGAATTCCTCGGATTTCTGCCACTAATTTTGACAAGTACTTTAGAGGTTTTGTTATTTAATTCAACACCAGAAGTCACTGGAGAAAAGCTTAATGGATTTTCTTTGTTTATTCTTTTCAACATGACAACACCGACACACGCACACACAATACGTACATACATACACAACACACGCACACACAAACACACACACACACACACACACATATATATATATATATATATATATATATATATATATATATATATATATATATATATATATATATATGTGTGTGTGTGTGTGTGTGTTGATGAACCGGAGGGCTTAGTTCGAATTCCAGCCGAGTCTATTACATTCATCTATGTGCCAATACCCTTGGGAAAGGTTTTAATTCTATTCTACTCCCTCCAGCTATGGGTAAATAGCTGGGTTCTATAGCCTTGTATGAAGACAGACAACTCTGAATTCAAAACCTGCGGAGGGTCGTTTGGGCAAACCGATAAACCGACGTGAGAGTCCAACATATATATATATATATATATATATATATATATATGTACACACACACACACACACACACACACACACATATATATATATATATATATATATATATATATATATATATTAAGCCACCTTTTAACAATATTAACTACAAAAAAATCCACTATGTATTCGGAAATTAAAAACATCCCTACCACAAACTAAGACATACCCATAATGCACACACTCAATTAAGCTGAAAAATCGAATCATCCTTGATGATGGCTAAATGTATAGCCGAAAGCTCACGGAAATATAAAATATTTGCACAGTTTTTACACACCCTTTGTCTAGAAATAAGGCTAGAACATAAGAAAAATTAAATAAAAAATGAAACGTGCATATATATATATATATATATATATATATATATATATATATATTTAAAGATATATTTCTAGGTACAAAATTTAAGTCAGGGTGTGATTTCTAATTTTGTAGGAACGTGTTGTTTTATTTTCATGTCTAAGCGTTGAATTGTTCTCCCTATGTAGTCGGCTCCGCAACTACAGACGTATTTGTAAATAGTTGTAAATATATATATATATATATTTTTTTTTTACAATTCCTTTTATTGTACATTTTTTGTGTTAATTTTAAATCTCCCGTTGAAGCCTGAAGAGCAGGAGCGAAACCGGTTGTTTCACCTGTTTTTTTTTTAATGTCTCGTAATATTAAGTTTTATACTTTTATTTCGATATATATATATATATATATATATATATATATATATATATATATATATATTGAACAATAAGAAATATTAAAAAAATAAGTTTTTCGATACACTGGGTTGTATATTAATATTTTTGTTTTGTTATTTTAATCAGTTTTCTGGACTAGTTTCGGCCAGCATGGCCATCATCAGAAGAAAAATAAATCCCCGATTGTTACTACAAGATTGATTGTTTCTGAAAAACTTCATCTGTAGTTGTCATTTATTATTTTATCGTTAATTTTGGTCAGACCTTGTTTTGGCCAAAGTGTTTTTAAGATAGATGATGGCAGATTCATGACTTTAAGAATTACCCACTTCGTCAGTTTGTGGATATATATATATATATATATATATATATATATATATATATATATATATATATATATATATAAATTGAGCTCTCCTGGCTACTGAAGTATTTCGTATAGAAAACGTTAAAGTATTTCCCTTTCT